GGCTAAGTGTGTCTGTTGTGTGTGTGTGTGTGTGTATGTTTGACCGGAAATTCATAGCTCGAGTCACAGTAACGATAGCGCAGTGGTTCTTACATATGTTATAGGGGGTGGGATGGGGACACAAGTGGTATGTGATAGGAACTGATAACGACTGATAATAGCTGATAAGAGGGGCTAGAAAGCGAGCATCGCCAATTTCGTTTTGTCGTTCATATTGGTACTAGAGCGTCTATACTTACAAGTGTTATGTGGGGTGGTCCCGGGACATTGGTGGTACATGATTGAAAGCGATAGCAACTGATAAGGGCTGATAAGATGCGTCAGAACGCAAAAGTCGTCGATTCCGTTACCTGGCTCGCTGACACCAGAGCAACCATACTTACAAGTGTTATGTGGGGTGGGACGGGACATTGTTGGTGGGTGATAGAAAGTGATACAACTGATAAGGGCTGATAAGGCGCGTCAGAACGCAAAAGTCGTCGATTCCGTTACCAGCTTGCGCTGACACTAGAGCGTCCCTACTTACAAATTCTATTTGTAGTGGTACGTGCACATTGTATCGATATGACCAGCTTACTTAATAGCAGTCGATTGCATAAACTCAATCAAGTCTTCAGCAAATGATAAGTTTCATTTTCTATCAAGAAAGCCCAAACTCATTAAACCGCTAATCCTTTCGGGGTTCTAAATAATGGTGAATGTAAATAAATGATAAGCCTTAGCTCCTCACTTATGTAAATAGGCATATTTCATTTTCATTTTGAGACTGACAGCAATCCTATTCACCGCTAAATTATCTGAATTCAAGAAGAATGCTGGATGTTTACAGTTGTGAGATAAATATGCCAGTTCAGCTCCAGACGTTATCACGCGTATTCTCGATGGACTTCAGCGAAACTGGGAAAGGTCTAACACATTCAATAGTGAGGTGGTTAATGGAGTACCTCATGCTGATATTCCATGGGTCCTCCAGTTTCGCTAAAGCCTGCCGTGCGATAGCGGAGCAAAACTGGTACCACATATAAGAGCGCAGGATCTTATGTCGCCGCAAAGGCTGCAACGAAACTGGTGGTATCCACACGTTGACGCTACTTATCAGTTCTTATCAGTTGCTACCATATTATTTCACTCACTTTCTTGGTCCCGCCTCACCATACATAAAACGGGTGTGTCAAACGAAGGTGAGAGGGTTTTGGAACTGTGAGTTACCATGGATGGTGTTGGTCGACATGATAAACTCCGACAGTCTCTCACCCTGCTCATTCCATTCCATTCCGTGAGTACCGATGTGAAGTTCTTCAGCCGTTCTTCTGGGCCAATCTTAGCGTTGAAGTCGCCGACGATGAGGTATGGTCTTCCTTGTAGAACTTCTCCAATTCCATATAAAATGCTTCGTGTTCCTCCTCGTCGTAGCTGGATGTTGGTGCGTAGGCGACGAAGATTGTCAAAGCAGGAGTTGAACCACATCTTCTCAAACGTCCGATTCGGGTCGTAAGGCTTTCGTACGAATCGATGTTTATGGCCAAGTGCGTGTTGACGAGGACACCCACACCGCCAACGCCTCTGCTGTCGCATGTTCCAAGGAACAGTTCTTCTCCAGTATCGAAAACGGCGTGTAGCGGGTTTCTCGGTCCACTTGACGCTGCCGTATTGGGGGGGTCCCCCGTTTCAAGGGCACATAAGCATTGCTCTTTTCGGCAGGGGCTAGGGTAGACCTCCACGCCGTCCCGGTGCGGAACAAGGGGCTTTGTTCTTGGAGGCGGCCCCGAATCGCCTCCCATGTACTTCCCAGTCACTTGAATGCAAGCTTTTGGCTGTGCCGACATGCAGGATACCAACCGCACACACACAGAGCGCACCACACACGCAAGCATGCATGGATGCGCCTGAGTGGAGACAGCTGGTATGAATCAACACAGCACTACAGAAACAGGGAGTCCATCCCCTGAATCCACCTGCGTCTCAGGGCAAGTACATGGTGGCTTTTGGTCCGCGATTTACCCCCTATCCGCCACCTGGGGTCGCGCCACGTAGCCTCGCCACCGGACTAGAGATTTTCTAGTGAGAGGGACCCTCAGTGAGAGAGAAGCGCGGATAAATCTATAGTAATATCCATAATTCTCATCGTGTGGACATGGTGATCGGACGTTGCCGACGGAGTTTTCTGTTGCCGTGGAACTTTATGCCGAAAAACGGTGTTAGGGTGCCACCCTTAGCTCGTCGAGCCAGGATACAAGCGGTGAGCGAAAAGAAGGTACATTTCAGACATCATATTCTAGCCTCCGTCTATTTGCTTCTATGCGGCACAGTGGACGAAATTGTGTCATTGTTCCGCAGACGCACTTCATTTACAGGGCACAAAGCACTTATCCTACATCTGGCTCTTATAGCAGAAGCAGAGTGGCATTCCTCTTTCTTGAGGTAGAGAAGGGTGCTGACTAGTGGAGGCTGCTTCTATGTGTGGCCTCAGCTGGACGGGGGACGGAGGCGAGCATGCGCCCAGTTGGCACGTGAGCCCCTTGCACGGCCTTGCTGCACAACAGCGTTCAGACGCGCGGCAAGGTCGTGAATCGCGACACTTCACGACGCACACCAATTTCAAACTGAAACAACGATTTTTATTGCATGGCAAATGCTTAACGGGAATCCCAATTCGTTGTTTATTTGCAGCTGATGAGAGAAGATAGAGAAAGGAGGTCGTTCCTAACGAAAGGCACCGCAAAGTTTCTAGAACAGGAGGAATTTTTCCCTGCATGTGAAAATGTGGAATTGAAGTACATGTGAGTTTCAGGCTCAGTGTTGAACAAAACATTGCACAGCTTTCTAATATTGCAGCAATAATGGGCCCAACGAAACCGCCATAGAAAGACAGTTGGCAAAAGTGCCACAATTTGTGGGTTTCACTATTCGGAGCTTCTCTTTTTCTTTTTCTCCATATTTTTACTTTTCTGCTTCGATTGTCTACTGATTGACGCTCGAAATTGCGTAAACGTTTCGATTCGAACGTTTTGCTCGAATGTTTTACGTTTTTATTGGATCCATTTGTAACGCGGTCATGAACGTTTGACGAATTGGAACGTATCAATCCTTCACCAACCAGCGCATTTATCACTCAATTTGGAGTAAATCCATGGAAGTTGTTGATAGAGCTCATTCTTTACGAACACTTCTGAGATGTAATCTAATTTTGTCAAGCACCATCTTTTCAATGGATGCGAACCCATAAGGTGAATTTTGAACGCTGGCTGAAGCTCTAGACATATGTCACCTTTATTTCAACAGAATTTCCATTTTCAGCACTGCGAATAACTTGATATCGTTAACTTTCTGTTTCGGCTACGTAACTGCTCTGAGACCATGCTGGTCGATCTGTCTTCGTGTCATAAGCGAATCATCCTTGTGTATCCTTACCAGTTTAGCTCCGCACACTACCGCGTGCATGACACGGAAGGGCTCCGTAAAGCTGGCCAGCCGGAGGAGCGTTAGGTTCCGCCGCTAACAATAACTTGCAAAAATGCGTTAGCTGGCCTTCCATAGAATGCCCATTTTTAGCTCACCGTCTGATACGCGCGGTGGAGTGCGGAGCTAAAGTGGTGTCTGTAAACAACCACCATGCATTGGATGTCAGGATGATTTAGCGGTCGAATAATATTGATGCCAATGATTTCGAAATAGAAATACCCACTATCGTATACACCAGAGCATGGGAGATGTTTACGCTGAGAGCTGATAAAGCTGCCCTAGCAATTATATCACTTGTTCAACGCTCATTTGGCTGCTAGACTTTGTTGGTTCAGAAAAATGATTGTTGATTGGTATTGACGAACTATGAGAAATTACTGCTTTATCTTCACCAGATTGGTCCCCCGGCAAGCGCCGGAACCTCCCTACCTTGCGTAAGCTTTCCCTTCTCCCTCCTCTCCTTACTCTCCCCTCGTTCTCCTCTGCTCGCCGGCTACCACAGCATCACCTTGTGGAATGACCGAAAGTGTGCTAAGTGCGTGTTTATATAGCCGTTCTGGGTTATCACAATCATGCCTTTGCAAAACATTGATATCTCAAATCCTGCGAGCTACCCAGATTTGTTAGC